GCCTTCTAAAAAGGCAGTTCCCTGTGGCTGGCGTAGCTCAGTGGACTGAGCGCAGGCTGCGAACCAAAGTATAGCAGGTTCGATTCCCAGTCAGAGCACATGCCTGGGTTGCAGGCCATGACCCCCAGCAACCGCACACTGATGTTTCTCTCTCTCTCTCTCTCTCTCTCTCTTTCTCCCTCCCTTCCCTCTCTAAAAAAATAAATAAATAAAATCTTAAAAAAAAAAGACTGATCTTTGTTAGGGAAAAATGCTGGCCTAGGACATGACTATCCTCCATGAACTGCTTTTAGTTAATAAGTTTTAATTTTAAACTATTCTATGTGGTTACTTTAGGTCTCTGAGTTTGTAAGGCTGCCTCACAGGCCTCTCTTGAGTTTGTCAGGTTAATATGTGGCCCCTTTTCTTCCACAGTGGTTTGCAGTTTCTGAGGTACCCAGCCCTGTCAGGGTGAGGAACCCAGGGTTGGCTGGGCCAGATCTTCACATAAGGGTTCCCAAGGAACCCCAGTCTTAATATCCTGCCATGTCCTGTTTCCTGGAAGTGCACCTAGTTTGACTAGGCTCCTGGTCACTGGACAGGCCTAAGCCTCAGACTCTATCCCAGGGCCAATCCCGGCCCAGACCGCCTGCCCTCACCTTCCACACTTCCTAGCGACTAGGGACAGTTTGGCTCCTCTTCCCCCACCCCCAGTCTAACAGCAGGGGCTCTAGAGTCCAAACTGCTTGCACTTCCTCTCTTCAGTTTTTGTAACTTTGGGCAAATCATAAACCTCTTGGAGCTTCATTGCCTGCATCTAAAAAGCAGGTCTAATAGAAGTACCTACCGTATTTTGCCATGTATAATGTGCATCCATTTTTGGCCCAAACTTTCAGGAAAAAATCTTTTATTTTAAATTTTTAATTCAATTATTTATGTATTTATATTTAGATACTTGTTTTTTGTATTATAAAGGAATTTTAGCACTTCTTTTTAACATGTTATGGTGCAAGAACTTTATGTAACAAATAGTTACAAAACACAAGAACAGATACAAGGTATTTCAGGTACTACCCATGTATAATGCACATCCTTATTTTTCCCTCAAAAGCTTGGCAAAAGAGTGCACATTATACATGGCAAACTATGGTACTCCCTAGGTTAGATGGGAAGTTAAAAGAGATAATGCTTAACACATGCTTGACACATTATCTGTTACAGAATAAATTTAGCAACATAGTGTGGAGGCTGCCTGACCCATTGCCCCTTTGGCCTGGCTCAACCTGCCTTGAGTGAGTTTGGAGGTGGTGTAGCCACTTCCCAGCCAAGAGCTTGCGCCAAGTTACACCTTGCTGGCCACTAACTGGTTCTCTGCTGTCACCTGGTGGTCATAGCCTTGCACCACAGGCCCACCTGATGAAGTGAGGGGACTGATTACTGAGGTGCCTCTTTGATCTTTTCAAATCCTTCCCATTCACAGTGCTCAGTGTCCAGAATCCACTTTACTCACCTTCCTTGGGACTTAGAATCTTCTTCAGCACAAGTCACTGTCCTTAGATTGCCATAGCCCCTGAGTTCTCCCCAGAGAAGCCCAGGTCAGGCCCTACCTGCCCTCCATCCCTACTCCCCCGATCCCCACCCCCACACCTCAAAGTTGACAACAGGGACTCTAGAATCCAAACTGTCACTTCATCTTTCAAATCTGTGTGACTTTGGAGTGTGTTTCTGCTCCTTCACACACACACACACCCCATGGAAAATTCTAGAATGATATAAAGGACATTACTGTAAATGGGGTTGATGCTGCTGTTCTTCTATAGGAGAGGCTGAACAAATGGAACTGCCTTTTTTAAAGATTTTATTTATTTTTAGAGAGGGAAGGGAGGGAAATAGAGAGAGAGAGAGAGAAACATCAATGTGCGGTTGCTGGGGGTCATGGCCTGCAACCCAGGCATGTGCCCTGACTGGGAATCGAACCTGCGATACTTTGGTTCACAGCCCGAGCTCAATCCACTGAGCTACAGCAGCCAGGGCAAAGATCAGCCTTTACCTTAACTGAGCCTGTCTTTTGTCTTTCTGCAAGTCAACTTCCCTTTTTCCCAACCCCCTGGGGCATAAACTGAGACCACAAATGCCCTCACTGTTGTTGTTATCATGTTGATTGTTGACTGTTAGTGAACCTTTACCCACCTATGTAAAAGAAGTATGTGCCTATCATTTTAACTTTTTATCTAATCCCAGAGTTTTCCCCACGCCTTTGCTTTTCCCCACGCCTCTCCCACCCCCCTAATTTATCATCAGTGGACTTCATGTAACCCCCTATGGCTCCTCCTTTGATTCTAGTGTATAAAATAAGGTGCTAAACTGCCATTCTCTGGAGCATTTCTCAGTCCGTTGAGATATTGCATCCTGGCAATTGTCAGTTTGGCTCAAATAAACTCACCAAAAATTCTCTACAGGTTTGAATGTTTCTTACGTTAACACCACTTAAAGACCCAGAGAGATGCCCTTGTAAGATCCAATAAAGACTTTCTTGAACTCTGAAGAGCAAAGGAACTGGACAGTGTGTTCCCAGACAAGTCGCAATGTCCCCCCTGTGCTGGGTCTGCTCCTGCAGCCCCCTCGTGGGGAGGGGGTGACGCCAGCTGCTTTGCGGTCACCATCCCAGAACACAGCTCAGGCACACTGAAGGCCCCTGAGTTGGTAGCACCCATCACCAGGGGACTGAGTGAGACCTGGGAGCTTCCCCTTTCCCTGAGATCCAGGTCAGTACCTCCCTCCTCTCTGGTCTTGACACCAATTGTCCAGGGGCCCACCCATAGAATCCAGACTCACACAAACCTTTGGCTTCTTGGCTAGAACAGCACCCACTACTAGGCCTTTCTGAGAGTAACTGGGCAGAATCCCAAGGTTAATTTCCCCAACTCCTTGGACCCCAAGAGCTTGTATTCTTTCTGATTTTTGAACAAAATCTCCTGAGTCAGCCTCAGCCATATTATTCCACCTCAGGGCTTTTGCACTGGTTCTCCCCTCTGTCTGAAATGCTCTTCTGCCATCTTCACATGGTGACTCCTTCTGTTCTGCTGGGTCTCAATGTGCATTTTCCCACGTTTCCAGAAAGACTCTCCCTGTCTCACCCTCTCTCTGTTTTGTTTCTCCTTTGCCATTTCCAGTGATGACTATCCAGTATGCAGTAGTTCAATAATGCCCTCACACAGGACAATCCAAATGGAGACGGGAAAGCCATAGGACCTGGAAGGAGTAGGGCCCTCAGACGTTATTGGGAAGGGGAATTTAGTGGCCATTTAATCTAAGTCCCCAGGAGATGAGAATGCTGAGATTCCTTAATCCTGGTGGGTGTTTTGTTTTGCTTGTTCACAATGGTTACAGGGAGCTGGTGAGCAAGGCAACTGTTCTGTCCGACTGAAACGCTTCTGGGCTGTACACACGTGACAGTCAGGGTAGAAAATACAGTGTCACGTCAAACCAGCCCTGGTTTCACTTAGATTCTGCGTGCAAAGGGAAGATTTTGTCTGTCTTTTACAAATGCAGAAAACCCACTCTCCCCAGGAGACAGTCATCCCTGGGAACAACACAAGGAAATCAGGGAGTTCAGCTTAGGAAGTTTTAGGGGCCTTCTGTTTTCTCTTCTTGACCAGAAGGGGCGGCCTAGATGATCTCTCGGTCCAAGGCAAAAGGCTCGACCCTTTGAGGTGGGATGAGGAAGGGTGTGAGGTGCCCAGTTACATCTGAATGTCAGAAAGACAATAAACAATTTCTTGTAAAGATACATCCCATGCCCTGGCTGTGTGGATCAGCTGGTGGGAGTGTCATCTGGTTACAGTAGAATGAGCAGCCAGAGGGGAAACAAAGGCAGGGAGGAGGAGGGATACATGTCCTACCCACTCACTCAGCAGTCCTTAAAAGTCTATGTATCTTTTCCACTACCTGGGAAAGAAAAGCCTCTGATATTGTGCTTTCATCCTAAGGCCTAAAAGGCCCGAAAGGCCCCTAAGGGCCCATACTCCCTAAAGGAAGAAGTCCTTTAATAACTCTGGGCATTCACATTGGTCCTGAAAAGCCAGCACCACCTTCACCTGTCAATCAATATATAACTTCTTCCTACTTACCCCTTGTCCCGCCAACTACACCAACTACGTAAATCCTCAGGACGGAGGCTAAGCAGGCTCAGCTCTCTTGGCTCTCAGGCTGCCTGGCCTCTGGCCGTGCACACTCTTTTCCACCCTGGCCCTCACTGGCCCTCACCATCCCTGCACTCACCACCACGGCCTTTGGCCACCCTCACCTTTGCCACCCTTACCCTGCCTCACCCTGAACCTATGCCTTTCAGCCCCCACCCCCACCTCAGCTAGGCCTGTTCTCTTCCATGAGAAGGGATCACCAATAAACTGCTTGCACGCTAATATACTTGCTGATCTCTAAATCTTTATTGCATTGGTGGGGAGAACTGAACTTCTGAGACTTTCTCCTGTAACAGTCCCATGCACCAAAAGGCTGTGGATTTGATCCCCAGTCAGGGCACATACCTAGGTTGCAGGTTTGGTCCCCAGTAGGGGCATGTAGGGGAGGAAGCTGATTGATCTTTCTCTCACATCCATGTCTCTCTCTCTCTTTTCAAATCAATAAACAGAGCCTCAGGTGAGGATTAAAAAAAAAGGTTCCATGCAGGAAGTGGGACATACATTTAAAAATGGGCCACAGTTATATTAAAAATTGTTTTCCTGAAATTCAAAGACAACTGGGCACCCTATATTTTAACTAGCAACCCTTCAGAGGAGGGACTAGCATTTAAAAATAAATGGCCTTCCTGGGATGAAACCCTGGGCTTGGGGAAAACAGAGGCCATTGTGAACCGTGAGTTTTGAGGGGAGGAATGAAGCTGGTTACATTCATGCCAATTAAGCAATCACAGATGACCCTGCAGAAATCCAAACTTGTGACTAACATGGGACTCAAGGCCAGGCGGAGAAAAAGAAAGGAAGATTAAGAGAGGAGAAGCGATCTGTACACACAGGTCCCGCTACAGACGCAGGCGGAGGACGATCCCATCCAGGAAGGTAAGGGCCTTCTCGTGCGCAGCTGTGGTCCTATGGTTTCAGAGGAGGGAGATTCTGGTGGACTCCTCTTCCACTGCCTCCCTGGTGTTGGCCACTAGCAGAATTTCTCCTCAATGTTTGTAATTCTCCAAGTTCTGTAGGTTCACAAAGTCTCCTAGAAGCTCTCTCTAGACTGCCAAGCAGCGGAGCAGAGGATGGGGAAAGCCCGCTCGTGAGCAGCATCACTCTGTCACTTTAAGGGCTGCTGCTCCTGGTTCACGTCGGGGGAGGGACATTTGCCGACCCCACACCGTTTGCTAAGGCTCTGAACTGGAGTTATAGATTTACAAAAACAATTTGACACAGAATTAATTGCATTTTGTGTCTGTGATGTTGAACACAGGGTTCACCCCTATATTATTCACCTGAGCTGATCAGTGAGTTCAACTGTAATTTCTTTTTTACCACTGGGAAGGGCAAATTGCACATGAAATGCCCCAATGGAAAGGATTCATGTAGTGAATTCCCCACTCAGCATTCCCACTTCTCTCCTGCTGTTCTAAGCAGGCTCATTAATATAATTCTATGGGGATCAGACCTTTGAAATTCATGAGAACAATAATAGGGAAGAAAAATACATAATAGCAAGGAGAGAAGAGAAACCACTGTTCGTTTTTTAACAAGCACATGTTAATCACGACCACTGCAGTTTCTTGAGCTTTCTGTTTGTCTATTTGTATTATTGGTTAAATTATTGCATTATAACTATATATATAAAACACCCCCCCAAACATTATATATGTGTTTTAACCCTAGTCATGAGACCTGAATGAGGGAGAATCAGAAACTAATTTCAGTGGGAGGATCAATGAATTGTTATAAAAGTTGAGTTGTGGGCATCTTCAGCTTGTTTTGGGTGGGGTGAATGTGGGCTAGATCCGGCACCTGTGTGGGGTGTTTTCCTCTGTGGGAAAGTGGGCTGGGAGGATGCTGTGCTTGGCCACATGCATTGTTGTCATAGCCTTCTAGTTGTGGAAGGATTGATATCCAACAATACCTTTGGAGAGAAGTAACTCCTTTTACTAACCACAGTTTTGGCCCAAGGAAAGTAAGGACTAATAAAAATGCTTTTTGTTTGCTTGTTTCTCTACAGTTTATGTTATAGAGTCCAATTGAAGGCAAATGAAGGGCATTTTCCCCTAAATAATAACTCTATTTGAAAGCATTTGCTTTTTTGTTTTCAGTTTTTTGAAATTAATTCTCAGTTGGTGGAAGGGGTTAGAAACCTGAGCAATTTCCATGCAATATCAATGAAAGAAGCAGGTACACATTCTCTCACCAAGAGAAACCAGAGGCCCCAGCTGTCGTCAAGGGTCACCTAGTAGCAATGTCTTTGTGGAGCAAGGACGCTCCAGATGCATTAAGTGAAGCCCACATGCCTCTGCTGTTAGGTGTCCTGTGACCCTACAAGATGCCAAGCAAAGAGGCCCAGTACATCTACGGGTACCCGAAGAGAGGGCATGGCCACTCCTACCTCACGGCTGAAGGGTAAGTTCAAAACTTTTGCTAATTCAGCCTCTGAATTCCACTGACACACACCTCTCCATAAATCTCTCCAGAATTTATTTCTCCAGAGGGTAAAAACTGGCAATGAGGTGAGGAGACTCTGGTCCCACAGGGGCTCACACAAGCTTCTCTGAGGCTGAACAGGTGAGGTGATAGGAACGGTAAAAATTTGGATCTGGCCATTTTGTCTGCATTCTTGGCTGTTAGGCCTTTGCTGTAGGTTCCCAGACTGAAAAACATACGTCTGGGAGCAGGTTGCCTCTTTCCTCAAGCCGTGTCCTGGCTACCCCTCGCAGGCTCCTGAAGGTGGTCTGCAGACACAGCAAAGGTGAGTTGCCAAAGAGCAAGTGAAGAAGGGCAGGTGTGCTTCCATTTGTGCCTGACCCCTGGGTGAAGATGGTGGTCAGAACCTTTGCATCATCCTTTATCCCAGGGAAAGGTGTTTGGTATTATGAATCAATTAAAAGTAAATATTTATATGATTAAGGATTTCTAAGAGCTGAGCATTGTGTAACCCTCCCAAGATGCTACTCTTTCCTTTGAAAAAAATCTTACGATGTAGCAGGAGATTTAGGCACGAGATAGCATCAGCAGGAGTAAGTGCTGCATGCAATGGGAACACGGGTGTAGGCACACGCTCTGCCCGTGAGGGCGTGGTGGTGGGAGGGGAGCACCCCCCTCTGAGTAGGGACTTCAACAGGATGGACGAGGAACCGGGTTTTTATTTGGACCATCTCTCAAGTGGTCTGATGACAGTTTCCCACAAACCTGCTCTCTTCTCCCTTGGGGAAGGACTGTTGACGAATCTGTACTAGCGTGAACTAGCAGGGGCGAGCGAGCATTCAGGCTGGGAGCTTTTCTCAAAGATCCTGTGGGATTTTCTAACATCCCTGTGTGGTCAATTGAGGGTGGGGGTCGGCAGATGTTCTGAAAAAATGTCCCAAGAGCAGAAGTATACTCTTTGGGGGGGTACATTGCACATGGTGTTCAGTAGGATACTGTTTCAGCTTCTGCATGATGACTCAAAGATTCTATGGCTGTGAAGTTGCAGTAGGGAGGGCCTCCATGGGTTGAGAGAGCATAAGTTACCCATGGAGCTTGAAGAAATGCAGTTCCCTAGTCCCAAGAGGCTGATACAGTAGGACTGGGGGTGGAGACCCAGGGTCTGCACTTGAACACACATCTCAAGTAACTCTATTGCAGGAGGTACTTGGGTGACACCCTGAGGCCCTCAGACTAGCCGGGTAGAGAGTTCTTCTGACATGTCTGGCATGTGCCGGTGTTTTCTGCTCCCTGTCATCACCGTGGGTGTGTGAGTGCAATGTGACTGCGTGTGCACAGCGGGAACAGAGCTCTGTCTGTGTCATGGTGTCCGAGGGAATAACCGCAGAGCTGGTGGGCAAAATCAGAACACAGGCATGCTGGGAACTGAATCAGCTGCTTTTAGTCACGAGAGCCCACTAAACGCTCCATGTGACAGCTTTGCTTCAAGACAGGGTGATACGGCAGGGGAGGCACTGGCCTGGGTGATGGGAAGCCTGGGTCTGTCCCAAACTCGAACACTTACTCCCTGGGCGTCTTGGGCCAGTCTCTGTGAAAGTGGGTTCTGCCACTTAACCTGCTGTGCAGCCTTAGGTGTTTTACCAGCCTAAGTCTTGGGATATCAGCTGTGAAATGAACTCCATACCCACCTCAGATGATTGTCATGAGGATGGAATAAAAGCCTGTATGTGTGGGGCCTGGCACACACTGTTGCTCAGGGAGTGGTGGAGTAGTGTCTAAGGTAGCGGTGATGCCAATGGATCATGGTAGGTGTCCACTTCACAGTCTGTAAAGTGGGTGGAGTGGCCTGCATAATTAGCTTAGAGTTTTTATCCAGCACTGCCATCCCAGGCTTCTCTTTACCTGTTTGGGAGACGGAGCCTTGGTCCTCACAGGTCTTGAGATGAAGGGGGTCCAGTAGGTGGTATTGGGCCAAAGTCTCTCCAGGCAAAGCCTCAGTTAGACCTTGTTTCACCTGCAGCTGCTCTATATCTTATAAATTGCCCAGCTCGGCAGACCCTTTCTTGCAGAGCAAGTCACTGATAAGAGACTTACCTTCCACTTTGTTAATGTTTTTCACGCTGTGAAGTAGAAAATCAGACAGATGTCAGCTAATTGACAATGTTATGCAGGGAAAGCAGAGCCCCAGGGCCTGGAAACAGGGGAAGTAGTGCTTCCCACAGGCCACCGGACATAGGGTCCGAAAGGCTGGCATGGACTCCTGCACTGTGTCCTGCTGCTGAGGAGCAGGCCCTTCTTGGGGGTGCTTCAGTTTTGCTCCAGGTGCAGCTCAGACACTTCTCCTCAGGGCTGAGCCCCAGCGCTAGTTCTTCCAGTAATCTTCGCCTGGCCAGCTGGGAGGTACTAACTAAATATCCACAGAGTGCCTGACTCCAAATGCCATCTGGCCATTCTGACTTGGCAGGCAGGCCGGCCAGGTCGGGCCTCTCACCTCAGCCACCCCAACACTCCCTTCCGAGATGCTTCTTCCAGGTCACTCAGCCAAGACCAGGGCAAGCAGGCACTAACCCCTCTGATCTGGTCCTTGGTGACCTGCATTGCATTCCTGGAGCAAGTGGAGGCTGGACAACAGCTTGCCCCGCTGAGCATAAACACAGGACATGTGTCCTAGCTGGGCCGGGCTCTGGGATCTCTATGGGATAGTCACAGTCTTGGAGACCTCTAAATCCCGCAGTTCTGCTTCCATTCCTTCGGTCAGAGTGTGCCAGCTCCGAGCCCCCCGGTGGCCCACTTCCAAGCTCTCTCCTTCTCTCTCTGACCTGTCCCTGTCCCCAAACCAAACTTTGTGGTAAAGGGCTCATCCCATTATCCTCACTAGTGTCAATGACTCACAGGAGGTTCAAGTTACATTTTGCTACAAATACACATATTTGTAAATAGTTGTTTTAACAAGACATTCGATTGTTCATTTATTTTTCAGAGAGGTTGGTGTTATGGGGGAGAGGATGTGAATTTGTAATGAGCCATAATTCATTCCTTCATTTTTTATTTGTCTGTTTGCCCATCCATACAACTGTGTATCCATTCATCCATCCACTCATCTTCAAGAAATATTTCTTAAAACACCTACATGCTTGACCCTTTCTAAGCATTGAGGATACAAATTTTTAAAAATGACCCTGCCCCCCCGAAAAAAAGAAACTCCTCTGGGAGTTCTTTTTCCATTTCTAGAAGAAACAGGTCAGCACACTGCTGGTTACCACCATAGGGAGGCCTGTGGGAGAAGGCAGGGTGGGTCGCTGTCACTCCGGGAGGAACGATGCTGAGTCTGGGAACAGGAGTATAGTAGGGTGGGACTGGAGAGAGGAGACAGGCAAGGAGTGAGGTGGTCGAGAGGGGTTGGGAGGAGAAGGCACAAATCCAATCAAGGGAAAGTCAAGTTCAAATCCCAGCTCTGTCTTATATATGACTATCAGCAAGGCACTTAATCTCTGCATTTATTTCCTCACCTGTGAAATGGGGATGCTAAGTGCTGCCTGCCTTACAGGGTTATTGTGAGAATTAAACAAGCTAATGTATCTAGAATGTTTAGCACAGCGCCTGGCTTATAGTAGATGCTAAGTCAATGCTAATTTCCACTTTCTTTTTGTGGACTGATAGTTGGGGAAAATGATCTAAACCAGCCCTGGTGAAATGATAATTCAGCTTCAGTAAACACATTGTCCACATAAGGGTCAGTTGCTACTATATGTCTTGTACCAGGAGCTCCGGTGTTTGGGCCCATGCCAGTTAGCACGACTTCTGCTGGCATACACCTGAGGGTTCTAGAGGAGGTGCTGTCCCCGGATACAAGTGTGGGGGGTCTGGTGGGTGCCCAGTGTGCCATGTGGTGGGAAATTACCTGGGGACTGGGTGATGTAGTTTTGGGCTGGCAAAGTCCCCGTGAGGAGAGAAGATTGTTTGATCACTATGTGGACAAGGCTTCTGTACCAAGATGAATTTATCTATCTCTTGGGCTAGGTTCGCAGGGATTGGCATCCTGACAGTGATCCTGGGAATTTTGCTGCTCCTCGGCTGCTGGTATTGTAGAAGACGAAGTGGATACAGGAGCCTGAAGGTTGGTGAAGCTCCCATTGCTGGGGTCCTTCCAGACCCAGGACCCACTTCCCCTTCTGTCTCTGAATTTCTGGGCACTGGGGTAACATTACCATGGTCGCCTCTAGCTCTGACTCTTGGCTCTGATGAATCTTTTTCTACATTGTACTTCTTGCAACTCTTCCTTGGCCTCTGTCCTGGCATCAATCCCAAAGAGGAACTTGGCTGCTCTTTGGTTCCTCTCAGAGCAAACTTGAGTGATGGCTGAGTGTGTGGTTGAGCACCGACAGTCTGTGAGGCACGGGGCGGGGCTCGTGGTCACCTTGCACAGTCAACAGCAGCATATGAGACACGCCAGGCCCACCAGCTCTTCTGGGAACTCGCACTGCCTCTGTTACTCCACTCACCTTGCCTCTTCACCCCTTTCTTCTCACATTGCCTGGGAATTCTTCTAACTCTGCTATACCAAGCAACCCAGTATACCTAGGAGCCATCTAGCATCAGTGCAATGAAGTAACCATTCACTCCTCAGCAGCACAAAGGACCATTTGGTTTTTAACAGGCTCCATCTTCCTTTAATGGCAAACTGGTTTTAATAGGATATTTTCTTCTTTACCATACAGCCAGGAAGCTAACACAGTCCAGTCTTGGGGCAGCAGGGTCTTGCACAACTAGGAGACATCAACTGAGTCTCTAAACAATAAAACCTACAGGTTTCAGAGACCTCAGTTTATTTTTTAATTAATTAATTATTTATTTATTTTTAGAAAGAGGGGAAGGGAAGGAGAAAGAGAGGGGGAGAACCATTGGATGGTTGCCTCCTGCATGCCCTCAACTGAGGACTTGGCCTACAACCCAGACATGAGCCCTGACTGTGAATTGAACCAGCGGCCTTTCAGTTTGCAGGCCAGCATTCAACCTACTGAGCCACACCAGCCAGGGCACTCTCTCTCTCTCTTTCTCTATTCCTTTCCCACTCTTTGCCTCTCTTCTCTCCTGTCTCTCTTCTATTACAGATCTGAAAGCTTCTGAGGTTGATACATAATGGAAAAGTTTATCTTTACAAAAGACGTTGGAAAGTCCCAATCCCCATTCGGAAGCACTTCATTCAGAGGAGGTTCCGTGACAGAGGGGAGGATTGGTGTGGGAGGCCATGGCTTGGCAGCTTGAGGAGAAGAGGAGGAAGGTGAAAGCTGTAGCTTTGGGTTCTCCTCCTCCTTACCAGGAAGCTTGGGCATTCCCATATGTCCCTTTCCTCATACCCATCTTGGCAGTGTTTCAAATACAAACCATGAAAGACAGGGTGAATTTGGGGGCTGACATACCCATCGAGCAGCAGCCCTCCAGAGTGTTGACATTTCATGGGAAAGAGAAGTTGCTGAGTCTTTTTTTTAAAGATTTTATTTATTTACTTTTTGAGAGGGAAGGGAGGGAGAAAGAGAGAGAGAGAGAAACATCAATGTGCAGTTGCTGGGGGCCGTGGCCTGCAACCCAGGCATGTGCCCTGACTGGGAATCGAACCTGCGACACTTTGGTTCACAGCCTGCGCTCAATCCACCGAGGTATGCCAGCCAGGGCCTGAGTCTTAATAAGACTCCAAACCAAATACCACAGGAAAGCCTTGGATTAGGAGGTCAAGGATGGGACTCCTACTCATCTGACACTTCTCTGTGGCCATCTACAACAGGGTGGTTGGGGGGTGGGGGTGAGGGAACCTTTGCTCTCTGCCACAGAACTCCTCTTGTACCTCTTGCATGGGGTTATGACATTGTCTTATAATTGACTATTTACTTTTGCCTCTTCCCCCTCTTTTCTTTCCTCCATTTATAAACAGGAATGGAAAATATTTCCTTTTTTAAATTAAATTACTATTTTAAAATGATTTTATTTATTTTTTAACTTTTTTTAGACAGAGGGGGAGGGAGGCAGAGAGGGAGAGAAACATCAATGTGTGGTTGCCTCTCATACTCCCCCTTTTGGGGACCTGGCCCGCAACCCAGGCATGTGCCCTGACTGGGAATTGAACCAGCAACCCTTTGGTTTGCAGTCTGGTGCTCAATCCACTGAGCCACACCAACCAGGACTGGGAAATTTTCTTATTCATCGTTGTACTTCCAGTGTCCAGCACAGTACCTGGCACATAGCAATCACTCAGTTGTATGGCATCAGGTTTTGGTCTTATTGTCTGCCATTGACCTGCTTGGTGACCTTAGTTTTTAATTCCTCTAAGCCTCATTTGCTCTGTTCTATACCTAGCTACATGATATAGCATGGTATATATCAGTTTTTATTTAATATATATATATATATTTTCTAGCCCTGGCTGGTGTGGCTCAGTGGACTAAGTGCCAGCCAGTGAACCAAAGAGTTGCCAGTTTGATTCCCAGTCAGGGCACATGCCTGGGTTGCAGGCCAGGTCCCCAGTGGTGGGTGTGTGAGGCAACCACACATTGATGATTTTCTCCCTCTCTTTCTTCCTCCCTTCCCCTCTCTCTAAAAATAAATAAATAACATCTTCACAAAATATATATTTTTTTCTATATAATTTTTACTCATTCTATGTTCATACATAAAAAAATCACAATGATTTAGCTTTTTAAGGAGTAAAAGTTCTACAAACTCATTATGTTGGTCTCAATTTCCTAACTGCCCACAATTGCTAGCTAGGTGATACTGAGCAAAAGGACAACTTTTTTTCTTTCCTTTTCTGCTTCAACACTCTCATCTTAAACTCATTTAAGAGTAACAGAGAGAGTCTTAACATTGCAGGCTTAGGCAGTGTGAAAATTTTGCTTGGTAAGGTTCCAATTCAACTTATCATGTCTCCATTACTCTAGGTCTACATCAGTGATTTGTAGTTTCTGGAATTTTTATGTGTTTATATTCCCTGATTCCTGACTGTCTAAAAATGCTGTCATTTATTTATTTTTAAAAAATATTTCATTTATTTATTTTTAGAGAGAGGGAAGGGAAGGAGATAGACAGAGAGAGAAAGAAACATCAATGTGTATTTGCCTCTTGCATGCTCACTACTGAGGTCCTGGCCTGCAACCCAGGCACATGCCCTGACTGGGAACTGAACTGGTGATCCTTTGGTTTGCAGTCAGGCACTCAATCTACTGAGCCACACCAGCCAGGGCTCTGTCATTTATTTTTAAAATTAATACTAAAATCTCATTTTGAGACTTTCATATCTCTTGAAAGGCCAGGTTTGGAATCAGCAGTGTAAGAAATGTAGGCAAAATTATGTAAAATAGTGCATTAAGTACTACATTTAATTACATAATTACCTCCCAGTCTGTCTTTGATGATTCTACTATCATTTTAAAACAGAAGTACATGAATGACAATATAGCAAGTTCTGGGTATTTGCATTACTCCATCTTTAACAACCCTCATTGAGCTTTAAAATACCTACTTTCCCACTTTCACTGAACATAGAATGATATCAGGGTTGGTTGGAATTAAGATCTCCTAAAATCCCTCTGTTGGCTAATAATTCCCCTTACACCTGGAAAACGTCTTTTGAAAAGAAAAGCTGCTTTTGCAGCAATACGTTTTTTCAGGAAAATGATTTGCAAGGCACTGGAAGTTGGTTTTTGTATTTACCAATTTTACTCTTTCACTTGGAAGTTAGAAACAATGCTTTTGATTCTTGGGGAGAATTTTGAGACCCCTGCATACAGCTCCGTTTATGCTCATGTCTCCTCTAGTTTTGTTTCTCAGAGCAAGGTAAGGGGATCCTGAACGTGAATCACCAGGGCTTCGTGCTAAAATGCAGATTCTAGGACCAGCTCTGGTGATGAGAACCAGGAATCAGGAACTTGCATTTTGAGGTGCGCACTGTGGCAGGGGAGAGAATTAAAAAACAAAACAAGAAAAAGAATAAAAGTGATTATTGACTAAAGGCAGAGAACACATTAAATATCTTTTCTGAGGTGTATCTCTGGGAGTTGGGGAGGGGACCAGAACCTCCCAGTGTCCTCATGTCATGATTAAGATTAAGGTCCTTGTGCATATATCCTTCTAGGAGGTGAGGCAGAGTTTAGGAAAACGTCTTTTTTTATTTGTTATTTATTTATTTATTTATTTATTTATTCATTCATTCATTCATTCATTCATTCATTCATTCATTCATTCTATTACAATTGTCCCATTTTTTTCCCCTTTATTTCCCTTTGCCCTGTACTCCCCCTCTCACCAGCATTCCCTCACCTTAGTTCATGTCCATGGGTCATACATATAAGTTCTTTGGCTTCTCCATTGCCCATACTATTCTTACCCTCCCCTTATCTATTTTGTACCCACCATTTATGCTTCTTATTCCCTGTACCTTTCCCCCCATTCTCTCCCCTTTCTCCACCTACTGATAGTCCTCCACGTGATCTCTATTTTGTGATTCTGTTCCTGTTCTAGTTGTTTGCTTAGTTGGTTTTTGTTTTTGTATGTTTTTTTTAGGTTCAGTTTTTGATAGTTGTGAGTTTGTGGTCATTTTACTGTTTACAGTTTTTGATCTTCTTTTTCTTAGATAAGTCCCTTTAACATTTCATATAATAAGGGACTGGTGATGATGAACTCCTTTAACTTGACCTTATCTGGGAAGCATTTTATCTGCCCTTCCATTCTAAATGAAAGCTTTGCTGGATAGAGTAATCTTGGATGTAGGTCCTTGCCTTTCATGACTTGGAATACTTCTTTCCAGTCCCTTCTTGCCTGCAAGGTCTCTTTTGAGAAATCAGCTGATAGTCTAATGGGAGCTCCTTTGTGGGTAACTGTCTCCTTTTTTCTTGCTGCTTTTAAGATTCTCTCCTTATCTTTCATGTTGGGTAATGTAATCATGATGTGCCTTGGTGTGTGCTTCCTTGGGTCCAACTTCTTTGGGACTCTGAGCTTCCTGGAAGTCTTTTTTCTTTGCCAGATTGGGGAAGTTCTCCTTTATTATTTGTTCAGATAACTTTTCAATTTCTTGCTCTTGTTCTTGTCCCTTTCTGGTCTTGCTAGTGTCCTCTCTGCCCCAGGCTGCCTCTGCCCCTCCTACTGGTCTGGATGAATGTTTCTTCTTTAATTCCTTGATTGTTGCACTTCCATGCAGTTTAATTTTCTGGCAGTTCTGGTTGTTTTTTTGTTTTTAAATTTGTTGTCCTTCTGGTGGTGCGGGGAGGTACAGTGTATCTACCTACACCTCCATCTTGGCCAGAAGCCAGAAAACTACTTCTTTACAGTCTGCTGACTGTGTAGTTATCAGCCTAATTCATGTCTGGCCTCATCTAACTGATGTTCCAAATACTTCTCTACCCTTGGAAATCTGCTTTGATACCCTTCTTGTGCAACCTAATAGACCTCAACGATCAGGCCCAGTCCACAGGCAAGCCTGGAGAGGCGCTGATCACCTGCATGGCAGCCCTGTTCTGGCCTCCCTCAGCTTAGGCCACAGAGGGCATGCTGGGTTTGGCTCACAGATATGTTTGGGCCTGTATTTTTAAGAATTGAATTAGATGCTAACATTTAAAATAACCAGAACAGGAATACAATCAGAGAAATGGACATCACACAGAGGGAGTTCAGTGGGGAGGGGGAAGGGAGGAATGAGGGGGAAAGGTACAGGGAAGAAGAAGCATAATTAGTACGCATAAAATAGATGGGGAAAGATAAAAAATGGTATAGGAAACAGGATGCAAAGAACTTATATGTACAACCCATGGACATGAACTAAAGTGGGGGGTAATGTTGGAGGGTTGGGGGCAGGGTGGAGGGGGGATAAAGGGGTAAAAATTGGGAAAACTGTAATAGCATAGTCAATGAAAAATACTTAAAAATAAAATAACATTTTACATAAAAACCTTGATTTATAGTTTCTTTTTCAAAAAAATCAAAAGATCTGGGAAAAACTGGCAGCTATAGTCTCTTTAGATGGGATATACAATCCCTCTTTCCCTCTGCTGGCCCCCACTGGACCCTCCTGATCCCCTTTTGCATTACCTGCCTGGTCCCTCTAAGTATTTGAGTGTAGCCGAATTGCCCAGCTACAGGCAAGAAGGTGCATTGTCTGTACAGCAGTGGTTCTTGGTGTGGTTCTGGACCATCAAAATCACGGGGGAACTGTTAGAAATGCAAATCTGTGGCCTCACCCCAGACGCACTGTATCAGAAATTCTGGGAATGGGCCCAGAAATGTGTTTAACAGGCCCTCCAGGTGATGGTGATGCATGCTAAAGTTTCAAAACCACTGTAGTAGAGAATTTAACAACAATAATAAAAGCAACTAAAGTTTGTTTTTTGTTATCATGAGATGCCAGCAATTTTAACCAATGTCAGTGATGAAATACTCTACCTCACCCAGGTGAATCGCTTCAGCAGTCTCCACTTTGGTTTGTGTTTCTGTCTTGTACAAACTGTTGTCATTCTATTCTAGGGATGAAGAGCATCATCCTCTAACCTTATTCAAAGCACTAAGCGTATATGTATCCTCCCCCACAATAACTCAGGGTACAACAATACCAGCCTTAGACTGACTTGTCATTATTGTTGCAACTTGACTCAGGGCTACAACCAGAGCATTTCTATCACAGTATATGCATTCATAGAGTTTAAGATAGTTTGCTGTCCTTGTGGGAAAAACAGAAATAGAGTATTAAATTTCTGGTGTGACATCATATGCCTGTCCCCACTGTGCTATCAGCTCCTGCCTCACTACCTCTGATCTACTCCTCTTGCAATCATTCTGAGGTTCATTTTTTCGTTTCACTCTTTTTCTCCTTCCCTTTAAAAATATTCATTAACTAATGGGTATCAGGCATTGTACTAGGTGTTTTACTTTTAGTTAATTCCTCTAACAACTCTGAGAGGTAGGTGATGTTATTTTCATACTACAGATGCAAAAACTGGAATTCAGAGGGAACACAGAGAATGTGGCACAATCAAAATTAAAACCCATTCTTTTTAAAAAAATGATTTTATTTATTTATTTTTAGAGAAGGGAAGGAAGAGAGAAAGAGAGGGAAACATCAATGTATGGTTGCCTCTCGCACACCCTCTACTGGGGACCTGGCCCACAACCTAGGCATGTGCCCTGACTGGGGATTGAACTGGCAATTCTTTGGTTCTCAAGCTGGCACTCAATCCACTGAACCACATCAGCCAGGGATTTTTAAAAAGATTCTATTTATTTATTTTTAGAGAGAGGGGAAGGAAGGAAGAAATGGAGAGAAAATCAGTGTATGAGAGAAACATCTCAATCGGTTGCCTCTATTACACCCACAATGGGGGACCTGGTCTGCAACTCAGGCATGTGCTCTGACTGGGAATTGAATTGGTGATCCTTCGGTTCACAGGCCAGCACTCGATCCACTGAGCCACGCCAGCCATGGCTAAAACCCATTCTTAAAACATCACCTTCTTTCTCATTTCTTTAATGGACTCAATTATTTCTTCTCACCCACTGACTTTTGTGAATTCACATTTCAGGACAAAAGCTTTTATGCTGGTACTCAAAGCACCTTAACAGGAAGATGTCTGTCCAAGGGACCTGGTCCACAGGACAGCAAACTACCTTTTCAGGAGAACAACTGTGAACTTGCGGTAGGTTCAGATTCTGTAAGGAGTATGTGAACGTATTTAATGCTATACTGAACCATACACCTAAAAATGGGTTAACATGGTAAATTTTATGTTATATCTGTTTTACCATAGTAAAAAATAATAAAGGTAAAAAACAAGGGAAGCCCATAGATTTTCTTTCTTTTTGTGTGTGTTTTAAAACAGCATTTATTGATTTCATAGGGTCTGTGGGTCAGGATTTTGGGTGTGACTCATCTAGGTAGTCTGTTTCATGATCTGTCACATACTGCAATCAAGGTAGGCTATAGTCATCGTGAAACCAGAAAAGCTGGTGTTCATGCTGCCTGTCACCTACCAGACACAATAAGCAGAGACTGGGATTGAATCTTTTTTAAAAAATATTTTTTATTGATTATGCTATTACAGTTGTCCCATTTTTTTCTCCCCTTTATTTCCCTCTGCCCTGCAATCCCCTCCCACCAGCATTCCCCCACCTTAGTTCATGTCCATGGGTCATACATATAAGTTCTTTGGCTTCTCCATTTCCCATACTATTTATTCTCAAACTCCCCGTGTCTATTTTTACCCACCATTTATGCTTCTTATTCCCTGTACCTTTTCCTCCATTCTCTCCCCTCCCACCACCTGCTGATAGTCTTCCATGTGATCTTCATTTTTGTGATTCTGTTCCTGTTCTAGTTGTTTGCTTAGTTGGTTTTTGTTTTTGTATGTTTTTTTTTAGGTTCATTTGTTGGTAGTTGTGAGTTTGTGGTCATTTTACTGTTCACAGTTTTTGATCTTCTTTTTCTTAGATAAGTCCCTTTAACATTTCATATAATAAGGGACTGGTGATGATGAACTCCTTTAACTTGACCTTATCTGGGAAGCATTTTATCTGCCCTTCCATTCTAAATGAAAGCTTTGCTGGGCAGAGTAATCTTGGATGTAGGTCCTTGCCTTTCATGACTTGGAATACTTCTTTCCAGTCCCTTCTTGCCTGCAAGGTCTCTTTTGAGAAATCAGCTGATAGTCTAACGGGAGCTCCTTTGTGGGTAACTGTCTCCTTTTTTCTTGCTGCTTTTAAGATTCTCTCCTTATCTTTCATGTTGGGTAATGTAATCATGATGTGCCTTGGTGTGTGCTTCCTTGGGTCCAACTTCTTTGGGACTCTCTGAGCTTCTGGAAGTCTATTTCTTTTGCCAGATTAGGAAAATCCTTCATTATGTTTTCAAATGTTTCTTCCTCTTCCTCTTCTCCCTCTGGCATCCCTATGATTCGTGTATTGGAAAGTTTAAAGTTGCCCTGGAGGTTCCTAAGCCTCTCCTCATTTTTCTGAATTCTTGTTTCTTCACTCTGTTCTGGCTGAATGTTTATTTCTTCCTTCTGCTCCAAATCACCGATTTGATCCCGGTTTCCTTCCCTTCACCGTTGGTTCCTTGTACATTTTCCTTTATTTCACTTTGCACAGCCTTCACTTCTTCCTCTATTTTGCAACCATACTCACCCATTTCTGTGAGCATCCTGATTACCAGTGTTTTGAATTCTGAATCTGATAGGCTGGCTATCGCTTCATCGCTTAGTTCTATTTTTGGAGTTTTGATCTGTTCTTTCATTTGGGCCATATTTTTGGTCTCAGTCTGCCTGTTACAGAGTAAGGGTCAGAGCCTTAGATATCTGCCAAGGCAGGGCAGCCCAAGAGGCTGTGCTGTGGTGCCCTATGTGGGGGAGGGGTCTGAGAGGGAGCAGTGCTGCATGCTCAGCTCTTGGCTGGCTTTCAGTCCCTTCCACTGTTGCCGACAACCAAATTGGGCCCATTTGGTGCTGATTCCTGGGTGGGTGGTTTTGTGTACATTCTGGGACTTTGTGGGTCTCTCCAACCAACTCTCCTAAGAGGCTTGGAGTTTCTCCAATGCCACAGCACCCACAGATTTTTACCAGAGGTTTTGAGGCTTTATTTTCTGATGCTGGAACTCTGGGTTGTGAGATCTGTCTCACTCCCCAGTTTTTCCTCCTGGTTTATCCACATGCAAATGTAGGACTGCCTGGTCCTCCAGCTGCCACCTTGCCATGATTCCTCTTCATCTCTGCTGCTCATCTCCGCCCCTCCTACCGGTCTGGATGATGTTTCCTCTTTAACTCCTTGGTTATCAGACTTTCATACAGTTAAATTTTCTGACAATTCTGGTTTTTTGTTTTTAAGTTTGTTGTCCTTCTTTTGGTTGTGCAAGGAGGCAAAGTGTATGTATCTATGTATGCCCCCATTTGGCCAGAAGTCTATCTTCTTAAATTGTGTTGTCTTACACCCAGATTTTCCTGCATCAATAATGAGGGCTTTACATATAGGATCCAAAGGAAGAACTTGGTTCTGCGTACAATATCCTTTTTGTCTTATGTTTTTAGTGTATTTGTTTATGTCCTGAACATAGATATATCTAGGGGAAAAAATAAAAGACCTTTCATTAGTTGTATAGAGCTATGCTAAGAGGGTAGCCACTAGCTACACATGGCTATTGAATACTTAAAACATTGTAGTTTGAATTGAGATGTGTTGTACTATCTACCAGATTTCAAAGACTTAGTATGAACCATATTGGTTACGTGTTGGAACGCTAGTATTTTAATATGTGAGGTTAAATGAAATGTATTATTAAGGTTCATGTTCTCTGCTTCTTTTACTTATTTTTAATTGTGTCTACTAGAAATCTTACAATCACATGTATGGTGCACTCTGTTTCTACTGGACAGTGCAGGCAATGTATGAAAATGGTTGAAAGCACTGACTCTGGGTCAAGTTACTGAGTTTGTTCTTAGCTTCACACTTACTAGTTGTGTGACCTTGGGCAAGTGACTCAACTTCCCTGTGCTTTATTTCCCAACCTGCAACATGAAAATACTCCTAGAATTGCTGTGAATATTAAATGAAGGTCTGACATGTTTGTGCTCTGTTGATAGCAGCAATGGCCTTTAGACATAACTTCAAGGACTTACCTATGTGGTAAAAATGCAGTGTATTTAATGTCTGTAAACAGGGTCCAACATTTCATTAGTTAGGGCTTAGGACTTCTATTGACAAGGTTATTCCAGGTACATATCAGTTTTTGAGATTTTGGGAAGCCCCTTTGCCCTATTTTTTCTGAACTCCTGCGCCGAACAATGTTTCAACAAACACACTTGTGAACTTTAACAATTATTACCTTGTTGGGTGGAAATTAGATGTGGGCACTTAAAAGTTTCAGTTCAGAGCAAAAGTATAAATATGATGCTACCTATTTTGACTTCTTGGCTCTCCCAGAAACACATGCACTGCTGCCAGGCCCATACTCTCCCTTTCTCATCCCCACAGGTTCCCAATGCTCCACCTGCCTATGAGAAACTCTCCACACAACAGGCACCACCACTTACTCTCCGTGAGAGCCAGCGAGGCCCCTGAGAGCTGCTGAGATGATTTCCCTCACGCTTTGGATTATGTTTAACATGGGCATTTAATATTTTGCTTCAGAATGCTGTAGAAATGGTGTATACCATCTCTAATAATAAGCTTAGTGTTAAATTTAGTAGGGCAACAGCAATACTAACTGAGGAAATGATGAAAAATATAAAAATGGAAAAACTTTGTCAATAAATGTTGAAATGCATGATATGGTCTGCACCAGTAGTAATGCTAATACATCTGTGGTGTTATTTCTGGTTGGATAGCATTTAAGTGTGTGTTCTGGGACCATTCAATTTCTTTTTAGTTGAAATTTCACCAATAACTAACAAACCACTATTCTGCTTTTTGAAGGAGCAACCTCTTGACCAAACTGAACTGTAACGGGTAAGTTTGTGCTATGGAGTACTCCCAAAGGGTAACTTTACAGCTTTAAGACCAAAAGCTGATTGATGTACCAAATCATATAGTCAGACTGATCTGATCAGGAAAGTGTCAGCAATGTCTTTTCGTGTTCCATGATGCTAAAAAACGTACTGTGAAGATCCTCTTAAGTAATATAGTTCTAATTGCATTTTATTTCAGGGCTCAGTGTTATTATAATTAATGACAAGAATTTTCTGTTAAACCAGAAAGTGGTGTCAGAATTTAAATAGGCAAAAGCTACTCTAGTTAAGTTTGGCTGATATTTTGCCTTAAATGTGCCAATGGAAATTTAGTTCATTTGGATTCCCAAATCCCTCTCAAAAGAGCATATAGAAGAAATCATAAAGGATCAGAGATTCTGGAAGAGTGTTACCATTTGCTGGCAACATTGCAATTCTTTTGTTGTTGTTGACATCTACCTATCATGTATACTATTTATCTAATATTTTTCTTTCAGTCAGCTCATTAAAAAAATTTGGCTTAAATGTGTATCACCACACAAAATGGAAAATCAGTATCATTTTCTGTAAGTAGAGGACAACTGTAAACATGAAGATAATGAAAGGAAATTATTTTTATTAAAACGTAGAAGATACTGATGGCTGCAGAAGGCTGTCAACCTGAAACCTGCTCCCTTTATTAAAGAGGAAGATTAGCAAGAATCAGAGAAAAGCTTTTAACGTAATTAAAAGGCTTGCAAGAGAAATAAATGACTTTCTCAATATGTGATTCAGTATTATCCTATGCTGAGTCAGTAAACCACCTACAATCGTCTTGTGTCATTGGAAACATCAGAGTAGCCTAACAGCAGCATTTTCTACAAAAGACAAAATTGCACTGAAGAGAAAAAAACACTGAATAAAGAAACTTGTTACACACATTGAAGAAAATGTCCACAAAATGCTAAAGTACCTTTCTGTCCTTTCTCTGTCCAGTCTTACCACTTAAAATAAGCTCTGTCCCTTCCCTTTTCAAACAAATAAGTGAATCCTAAACCAAGTAAACTCCATCAGGCATTTGGTCAGCTCCTTTCCTCACTGAAAGGCTTAGTCTGAGCCTTAATTGTCCACATTCATAGAGTAACTTGTGGCTTGAGCCCTGGACCCCTCCAAGATCCCCAGACCATCCATCATCCAATGAGCATTCTCTCCTTCCCCATGGAAAAGTCCCTCTTCACAGTCCCTCAAGGCAGTGTCTGTCCTGGGGGACAGGCAAGGAGGGTTGAGTTGAGTCTGCTAGGGAAAAACTAGAAGAATGAGATTTTGTTTCAAGGAATTTAAGGTGTCAGATTCAGCCAAAAGTAGGACCTGCTCCTTACAAAGAAGCAGCCACACTTTTGGAAATGATTCCCTGGATTGGAGACCAATTTTGGAAGGACCATGGGATCTGGGAGCTGAAGACTGCAGGATCACATGGTGGAAGGAGCCTGGGTCACTGAGACACCACTGAAGGAGAGACTCCTCCATCTAGGAATGCTTGGATTGAGTGAGGACCAACTGGCCCCACAGAATATCCATAAACTGTTAAGACATTGCCAAATCTGACACTGAAATCCAGGGCTTAGTTAATAATACCTTTGTTGAGGCCCTTCAGTGCTCTGGCCCTGCCGACCTGGATGGAATAAATGGGGGCTGCAAGGGTGCCTCTAGGGGAGGGAGATCCCTGTGACCTTTGCAGGCAGGATCAGGCTTCCCTCCAGCCTAAGGAAACTCAAACTCAGGAGAATGAGCCTCCCCAGGGCTCTGGGCACAGGAGTCCTCCCCTGCAGGGTGCCCACCGAAAAGCCTGACATGCTCAAGGGCAGTGGTAATGGCATGGCACTGCTTTGACCTCATAGGCTTCCTGCAGGATCAGGTCAGGACTAGAGTGGTCAGAGCTCATGGCCCGGAGTCATCTGCGGCAGTTTTCTACTTGCCCAAATTCACTGGATACATAATATTGCTTTCCATTTGTGCAGTGAGCTCTGTTTATAGAACCTGGTTTACACCAGGTGTCAGGTATTGTCTGATGCTTGATTCAAGCCCCAAGTCTCTATGGTTTTCCCTAGCAGGTTCTAATATGGACTCTGATTGTAAAGAGAGTGAAGAGCAGGCAAACTTGAGGGAAACAGAGCTAGCCCAAAGATTTCCTGCCTGGGTTAAAGTCAGTGAGTTTAGACTGATTACACAAATCAGTGAAGCCCCCAAGTCACCTCTAGTGAGGACCAGTCCTCTGAAGTTATAAACACTGAGTTAGATAGCACTTATAAATCTGGATAGATCCACTTGTCACTTGAGAATATTACAGAACTTTTCCAAAAAGGACAGAAACCAGTGAGCCTCCTAAACCTTCATTTCATGGCTAAACTTTAAGGACTGACAGAATCATTTGGAAATGCATTAAAATCCCTTGATCTCAAGTTATTGATGACAGAACATCATTAAAACATCTCAGAAGAATGTAGAACAAATTCAGAGGGAAATCATGGATGGCTTGGATAAAAGCACTCATTTTAAAGAAAGCCTGCCCTAGCTGGCGTAGCTCAGTGGATTGAGTGAGGGCTGGGAACCAAAGTGTCCCAGGTTCGATTCCCAGCCAGGGTACATTCCTGGGTTGCAGGCCATAACCCCCAGCAACCGCACATTGATGTTTCTCTCTCTTTCTCTCTCTCTCTCCCTCCCTCCCTTCCCTCTCTAAAAATAAATAAATAAAATCTTAAAAAAAAAAGAAAGCCTAAAACTGTTATAAAGAAGTTGTAAAAGAAAAAGTGTGGGAAATAAACAGAAAAAAAGATGCTTGACAACTTGAAAACTCAAATGAAAGTCTTTAAATGATGAAGAGAGCCTATTAAAATCTCTGAAATAGTAGATGAAAAGTCTGCCTGCTTTATTTTTTAAAAAGACTTTATTTCTAGGGAGAGGAGAATGGTGGGAGAGAAACATCAATGTATGGTTGCCTCTCCTGCGCCCCCTACTGGGGACCTGGCCTGCAACCTAGGCATGTGCCCTGACTGGGAATCAAACCAATGATCCTTTCGTTCTCAGGCAGGCACTCAGAGCCACACCAGTCAGGGCTGCCTGCTTTCTTTAGAAAAGACTACATACATACATAATACATACTGAGATGAAGGAGAAATCAGAGATCAAAGAGAAAATTTTAGAAAATGAGAACTACTGTCAATGAAAAGTCAATTTGAATATACTGATTCTATTAAGTGTTTCTTTAAAAAGGCTTGAAGGAGAAAATCAAGGACCATTTACAAAGTTTAGTGAAGAAATCTATATGGACATATCACAGTTCAAATGAATGGTCTCTAAATTCAACAAGCATCTTTGCAGTCTGAAAATAGTTTGAAAGTGAGATTCAAAAACCAACCAAAACTTCAAATACTGCTTGCTGGGCTACATTAAGAACATGTAATGCAAATTTGCAGAAAAATCAATTGAAGAGAGAACTCACTGTTTAGAAACCTAAAAGAAACTTCCCAAAGTGTATGACAATATTAGCTACATATATCAGAAGTATGACTCCTACAAGAAGGCCTTGAGAAAAAGTGGAATAGAAGCCCTTCCTTTTTGAAAGGCTGGATTGTCTCCCATGAGAAAAAAGCTCAAGAAAGTTGGATGGCAGCCTGGCTGAGAGAAAACTCAAGAGACAAGGAAAGAAAATAATCACAACAGACAAAAATTGGCTGAAGAAGTTTAAATTCCAGCTTCTCCCAAGTGGCACCCACTGTTCCACATGCTGCCCTGGGCAGAGGCCAGGGAGTGTCAGGTCACTTTCTAAATCAGGAGGTTCCCAGAGGAGACGTTAAGTTGTGAGGACTCAAGCATCTGAGTCACCTGCAGGTTTGATTCAGGTTTACAGTAGTCAACTCCCAAATATCCACAGAAAGATGTGTTTTCTCATTCAAAAATAATACTTAGACCAATCTCCTTTCAGTTTAACTGTTTTCACTTATTTGATGCTACGTTTGCTCAAATTGAAGTTTGACAGAATCATGATTCCTAAAATAGTGTTTTGAGGACTTAGATGGTTTTAATAAAATTCTAGACCACTTAACTAGATGTTCTAGAACTAGGTCCATATAAGTACTGTATTTACATTGAACTAAATGGCCCACTATTACTTAAGCCATAATTGAATTTTTATATGATCAGGGACAAATATTTAAATCAGTCAAGACCATTTATATAGGCTATATGCTACTAGAAAAAATTTGTAAAAACAACATAGTATTGACAATAAACTTTAATTACAAACAATATAAAACAAGAACTCCACCAAAACCAAAACTGAACAAAACTCTACGCCCTCAAATAAACCTATTAGTAGTTTTATTAGTTTAGCAATGAATTCTTTGATTTAGGGGGCTATTAACACTTTGTTCATGACATTCTTTGCTGTTTAAATGCCTGTCAATTTTATGCAATCAGAAATAAACAATCCTTTGAAACAATCCTTTTCTGTATTTCTCTCAGTCTGAATACAAGCATACCTCAGAGATACCACAGGTTTGGTTCTAGAGCACTGCAATAGAGAAGCAAGTTTTTTGCTAGTATTGGGTCTTGTTTTCAATTTATGTATATATACCAAAACACCTGTGAAGCACAATGTTATGCTTAATATAGTTTTATTTTCTCACCACTTCACTGTTATCATTGCTGCCAGGTCACAGGTCTTCACACTTACCTGTTTGACCCACCTAGAAACTTCCTGATTGGCCCCCCCTGCCTCTAGTCAGGTGAATGATAGCAGCTACTATTATGTGGCAGGCAGCCTTGCATCAATTGTTTTAGGTAAGTTATCTCATCTAATCCTCACAGCAATCCTGCAAGGTAATTTAGTTATCTTTATTTTATATGTATTACCTTTACTCATAAGCTTCAGTAGCTCCCCAATTACTTTCAGAATATTTTCCACTCCTCAATCACCCAAACCTGTTTTTTAAGCATTGGTCCTCTTAACCCATAATATTCTACTCAAATTCAATTGCTCCTTGTGCTTTTTTTAAAAAAATTGAGATATAAATGATATACCATTGTATTAGTTTTAGGTGTATAAAAATTCAACATACTGTGAAATTACCACAAAAAGTTAACATTCATACCACATTTTCTTGTGATGAAAACTTTTAAGATCTACTCTCTTAGCACCTTTAAAATATACAATATAGTATTGTTAACTTCCTTGTGCATTTCTAAGGCTGAGTCTTGGCAGGCCTGGTTCTAAACATATTTTAATTACAGCACAAATGTCGTCTTTTATATGAAACCACCTTTAGCATCTCCCTGCTAATCTCCCAGAGTTCTTTTATTCCTCTGACATTTACTTTTAACTTGTTATATTCTTTTGTGTTGAGGACAGGGATAGGATTTTACTTATCTATGTTGTCCCTATACCTTCTGTATTATGAGATTCTCAATAAATGTGTAGAATGAATTTACATTGGTTAATTACTTAAGAGTGATATTGAAGATTACATATAAAAAAACACACACACACACAACATTGGTACCTTGGTACTCATTATTAGTTCTGGAACTTGTGATGAGTGCCAAAACCTAATGACGCTTTTACTCTTGTGGGGCGGTGTCCTGACTCATACAAGTTGTAGCAAGTGCCGAGTGCTAAAACATTTTTTCTAGTCAAAATGCAACTACTACAGGGTTTGACGAGTTCTGAAGCCAACGAGTACTGAGGTATGACTATACTTTTGATTCTCTAGCACTTCTCCACGTTGTTTTCAACTATAGGAGTTTCTCACATTCAGATTTTGTCTCCAAGTAAGCTATAAGAACCTGAACTATGTCATGACCTTCAGCTTTCCTGTTTATTAAGAAAGACAAAAAAGAAAGAAGGAAAGGGAGGAAGAGAAAAAAAATCAAGCACCATCTTGTGCACAGTAAACAGCTGTTGAATTAAAAAATACCTGGGACCGACAACATATTATAGCAATAAGGCTTCAAGATCAGGTGATGGCAAAACAACTTCTAAATTGTATATCATTTCTATGTTATAGTAAAGTAATTTTGGATAACTAAACCCCCAACAAATTTCTGAGATCACTTTTGGACCTTGCCACCTTCTCAAGCTTTTAATATTAAAGATTTCTAAATTCACCCTCTCTGCTATAAGTCAATGGTATACTAGATTAAATACATATTTTCATTTATCTTCTTATACATATTATAATCAGCACTGCTTTAGTCATACAACCATCAGTCAATTAATTACTAAATTTACCCATAAAATTGGAGGCCTGGAATGAAAAGGAGGGATCTAAACAGCCACTTAGTATTTTATTTATATATATAGAAAAAATTTTAATTTATAGTTTTTAACTAATCACAAAAATTATCTTTTGTGTAAGAAAAACCATAGGAAATGGGAGACAAGAGACGAGTCAAAACATCAGGAGAAATATTATTTCAGCATGTTTTAACTTATCATTTAAATGATACTGAATATAAATATCTAAATGGCCTAATCCTGTATTAGGTGTGGAAACATACCCATCTAGTACCATGAAGCCTTTCAGGTAGCATTGTGCTGACTTTTCTTCCTTTACA